TATATTCTTTAATCTGCGGCCCGTTTCCTTGAAAGTACCAATGTTCAGATATAGGTTTAATACTTATGTTGAAGCTTTTTGCCTTAAGCAGAGTTAAACACGGCGTATACTTATTTCTGCAAGTAATACAATGTCGATCATTTAAATTTTATTGGATAATGCACTAATGATCCTAACGTGACCTATCCAACCAATCATATTAATAGTTTCGCAAAATATAAAGCAAGTTTTTTCGTAACATTATTCAATGGCCATATGTGTAATTGTTATATGTATAAATAGTCAACTCTTAAAGCAAAATACTACATATTTATAAAATCAAATACTATAATGCATTTAACCAAGAATTTAAAAAATAAAACTTCGCTTGACATTCAATAATTCATTTAAGATAAATTTCTTGCTTTATGTAGCATTTTTAAAATAGCGATCAAGAAAATTTACAATTAGTAATACCTTTGATTATCTGTAAAATTCTATCGAACGAGCAGTTAGAATTTTAACTGCTTACTTTAAAAATTGTAGCTTATTCAATCAAAATAAAATCCTGAAGTCAGTTTGTTATTCAAATTAAACTGTGGATACAGCTTTATAAAGTAACCAGAAAACTACTTTAAAAATTTCAATTATATTTAAAAATATAATAATAATAATAATAAAACTAATTTATTATAAATAACATATTTAGCTTTTTGGTCTAATAAAGCATATATTTAATAATTTTTAATATTAAAAAAAAAAAAAAGAAAAAAGCATCAGTGCACTGTGCTGCATAACAATGCTCTATTGCTTAATTACGTGTAATAATGCTCCATTATTTCATTCCACACAATAATGTTTCATTCTGCTAGCTCCAATATAAATTGTAAAAAGCGTTCATGCTCTAAGTTATACAAATAATATTCTATTAGAATTAAGTATAACAGCAAATGAAGGATTGAATATTAAACAGAGTACCGTATTTTCGCGTAATAACGCTCGTGAGCGTTATTTAGAATAATGGCTCAAATTAAGCTTAATTCGAGTCATTATTCTAAATAACGCTCACGAGCGTTGTTATGCAAAAATACGGTATACAATTACATTAAGCATTCATGGGGTACCTCACCAAATGAATAATTATAGTGCGCCTTCAAACTTACATCGTAGAATTAAATCGAATATTGTGCATTAAGTAATCATATAGTAACATACCAAATGACGAAATAGAAATCATTAGTAGTTCATTTTATGAAAAAAGAATAAATAACAATATAAATAATAAATTTACTTCACTGAAAATGCCAAGATATAGTAACTTGAAGAATCCCAGGTAACTTGAGACCTATTCTAACTGCTCTAATTCGTTCACCACGTGTTGAAAAATATGAAAATCTAATCGTAATGCAGAGAGCTAATGAACCCTAAATAGAAAAAGTTTTTTAGTCCATAATATAAACGATTAGACTAACCAAAAGAATGATTAATATTGTAATTGCTAGCATGGAAGACAACTAAAATGTGTCATATATGTACGTTGTTATATTCGCAGAATGCCAAAAAAAAAAAAAAAGATGCACAATATTAGTGGATTAAAATAGCGTAGATCATTACTTGAAATTGAGATGAAACCAATACTTAGCAAAATTAAAGACATTAGAATAGTGCAGGTGATTATATTTATCTTGAGATTAATAAGTGTATAACTTTATATAAATACTTCTGAAGCACGCTAATTCTGGGCACCAATGGGCACCAATTCGAGACCACATAAGTTATTTTTGAAAGACCAATTTCAAATAAAGCCCACGAGCATTATTTCGCGCTTATATAATAAATTGAAAAGTATTTGAGTATAAATATAAGCATTAGCTATTGCGATTTGATTAATTATAATAATATTATATGTATGAAATAAATTAAAAGCCATCACCTGAATTAATCAGATAAGATCAACACGTTGACAAAGATTACATTCCTATATGTAAATAAAAATCTACATAAGTTACCACTAATGTGGAGTATAACCAAAGTTTTATAACTAGGCTATAAATATTTACGTGAACAATTCATAGAACTCTAATGTGTGTAATTCAATGCACAGCCCGTATATATCACGTGAATAAATATATGCATTTCACCTTAGAAAGCTAACAAATATTAGATAATTATTGGCCTCCCAGAAAATAAATGCAATTTAATTGATATGTCGTACTAAATTACATTGTCGAATGAATATTCCTGGGGCTATAATTGTTTAATGTTTGTCTGCCTATGTAATAACTGCGCATAACACATGACACACATGGAAGAAACAGCGTATTTTATGTAGAGTTCAAGAAAAATTGCTGCGTATATCTCAGTGAAAGAAACATGTAAATTAGCTTTTTTTAATTGTTGTAATAATAAAAGCAATACAAGTATTTTTTTTTTTTGTTGTCATAGCTTGTATAATTTTAAATACATATAAAAAAGGACCATGTTACCTTTAAAAATTTTTGAAAGTTGAGAAAATTATCTCTGAGATTATTCCAATTCCTTATAAGAATCAAATCAAATCGAAAATAAACCTATAAAAATATAAAAATAAAAATGGAACAAACCTATGTTACTGAATTTGCTTCAGAATTTAATGTGGAAGACATTGCAGAAGATCAAGAAGCGGGATTAGATGACCTATTTGACCATTTGGATCAATTTATTGAAACCATTCAAGACTCTATTTCTACTGATCAATTACCTGCTAGTGCTACCTTAATTAGGCGCAGCAATAATCGTCGTGGCAAACCAGTAGAAGGTGTTGAATATCAAGTTCCACCTGATACAGACTTTCATCAATGAGTTCAAGACTTTGGAAGATCAAATGGTGCAGTATACCTTAAACGCCACATAGAAGAAAATATTCGGGATTTGATTCTAAGGGTAATATACAAATGTCATCGTGCTGGAACTTATCGAAGTATAGCTGGAACAACCCAATCAAATAAAAAACCAAGACCTAATCAAAAAGAAACAAAAAAATGTGACTGTAAGTCACAAATAATTGTCACCAAAATACGCACACCCGATGGACCACTAATGACTATTAAATATACTCATCATACAAATCATATTCCCGGATCTAATAATGACATTGGCAACCTGAGAATTTCGAATGAAGTTCGTAATTGGATTGCTGACAGAATTCGTGATGGCCTAAATGTTAAAGGAATTCATCGGTTATTTCAAAAAAGGGCACGTGACATATCAAAAATCTGGCAAGAGCATGACAAAAAAAATGCTGTGCATATTCGAGATAATCTCGTAACCCGTGATGACATCTACAATATTTGGAAAGAAGTAATAAAAGAAAGTCAAATGAAGCACACTGTAGAAGAACAAAGTATAGAAATGTGGAGGATTGATCTTAGCCAGAATGGAGACCTTACATGCACAATCCCACGATCAGAAGAAAACGGTAAGCATGATAAAGGCAAACTCTTCGGCTTTACCATTCCTACTGGTAAAGAAATTATACATGAAGTTTCAGTAATATTGCTTGATGCTACCCATGGCACAAATAAGAATAAGAACTTACTATATACTTTACTATCGCCTGATCCAAAAACAGGCAAAGGGGTTACAATTGCACATCTTCTTTCATCGCATAAAAATTTTGAATCAGTACATCACTGGCTTTACAGCCTTTGTGCACAAGTTCCTGACTGGCAAGGTCCTGCTGCATTTCTTGTCGATTGTGACCTGGCACAAATTAAGGCGCTTCATGTTGTATTTCCAGAAAGCCGGGTTTTACTTTGTTGGTGGCACATTGCAAGAGCTTGGAGAGAAAATCTTGGCAAGGCTTACAAAGACAAAGCTAGCATTATAGGACGCAAGCTCAATCAAAATGAGAAAAAGTTGTTGGGGGATGAGCTTTTTGCGGATTTAAAATATTTAATGAACATTGATGATATAAATTTAGTTAATGAATTTTTGGTTTTTTTTTTAGAAAAATGGAAAGATTCAATAACTTTTATTACCTATTTCAAACAGCAATAGTTAAACAAGACGGATGAACATAGTAATGTACGTGGTATTGATAAAATGATGTGGATAAAAGCTTATCGCACTAGGATTCCATATGGGAATATGGATACTACAAATATGATTGAATCCTGGCACAAACGTTTAAAATATGATAACTTTGAAGGAAAAGTTAATAGACGAAGTGACCTTTTAATATATGAATTATATGTAGTAATAGATGAAGATACCTAGCAACAGCGACGTCTTGCGGATGTTCGGGCAGGACGAATGATGCCAGCTGAAAAAGAAGTTTGCCGAAGACAATTAAAGGCGCAAGCACTTATTAATACAGTATTAGAAGTTGGAAATGGTGGTTATTATTGGACTGTCGCTTCGGAAATGAATCATGATATAAGATACTCTGTAGAAAAAATTTTTGAAAATAGTCAGTTAGAGAGACAATTTTCTTGTACATGTACAGATTTCTAAACACGACAACTTCCATGTAAGCATATATATGTAGTGATTTTTCAGTTTTTTCCTTCATCCAGGCAGCAACAGCTACCACAAACACCACAAGAACAGCCACCACAACAACAGCAGTTATTACCACCACAACAACAACTTACTGTTAAGGAGCTTCGCCGAAATATTCAAGAAATGACAAGAGATCTTGAAGATCTTAACATTGGACGTTTAGAGATCGTTCACAACCAATTATCACGGGTTCTAGATGAAGTTCGTAGGATAGGTGATTTTCAAGCAGGAAATTGGGAAAGTGAAGGTCAAAGAATTAGTCTTCCACCAAATTTGAATGTTGTAAAGCAACGAAGATAATTTCAATAAATGCAATAAAATTTCGTTTTAACTATATAATATTAATCAAAATTTTATTAAATTAACCATAGTTACAATTTTGTTATTCACTTAAAGTTAGAAAAATTTGATAGATATAGATACTGTATGATATTTTAAAATCATTTTAAGCTATATATAGAATAAAATTACTTGCATTAATTAAAAAAAATTCATCGAAGCATTACTTGCTTAATTAAAAAAAAAAATAAAAAATAAAATTATCGAAGAATCACTTGCCTTAATTAAAAAAATTATCGACGCATTACATGCTTTAATTAAAAAAAAAAAATTATCAAAGTATTACTTGCCTTAATTGAAAAAAAAATTTTAGAAATTATGCTTTAATTAAAAAAAAAAATATCGAAGAATTATTTGCCTTAACTAAAAAAAAATTATCGCTTAATTTAAAAAAATTATCGAAGTTCTTGAAATAATTAAAAGTCTAAGTCATTTTTTATTTTTTAAAAAAAAACAACCCTAATAAAATACCCATATAGTTGGGCAAGACAGTAAAAAAAAAACCTGAGTGTGGGCAAAGCTTTAGTGAGATCACAAATTTTCGTTATCAAAAAATATGAACGCGAAAGCGTTATAATAGAAATTTTCTAATTTGATTATCATCTATTGGCGGTACCAATAGAATACAAGGGATCGACATTGTATCACTTGCAGAAATAAGTAATTCCCGCTGTCTTCAGACCTTCAGTCCGGAGGCAGTGATGTAATTTCCGAGAGTTAGGTAATTTGCCGAACGACCAAAAAGATTTCGGGTAATGAGCAGGTGTTCCAGAAATTATGAAAATAGCTGTAACACGAAAGTCTAAGCTTTAAATATTAGATTTCTAATACTTTTAAAATAATTAAAGTTGGGGTTATCGAAGAATAGAATTTTCAGTTGGATAAGCATAACTAGTTATACTATTGAAGATTTTTAGGTTAACCAAATTAATAAGAAATTGATTAAAATACAATAAATAATGGCCGCTAGTGTAATAAAACAATTTGCGAAATAAATATGTACTCATAAAAATTATACTATATAATTGGGATATCAGGATATAACATATTGTACTTTATTTTATAATTTTTTAAAGCCACATACGTTAATTTCCAATTAACAGAAATTTGAAAGTGACTTCTAACACATGAAATAACAGTCGATTATCAAAGATATTTTTAAATACCTTGATTTATTTAGAATCCCTAACTGATAGTGTTCACAAAAATGCAATCCACTGAAAAAGATAAGACATTAATAATTTGGCAAATTTTCTGTTCAAATTGTTTATTGATAACGAAGCTATTTTAACCAATTTGATATCACTTAATTCTAAAATTTTGATTACATCAGAAATTCACCATCGATTAGAGTAAAATTTTCCTAAACTTCTAGAAGTGACTTGATATGCTAGTTCTGAATAGTTTCAGACGGAATAATCATATTATTATGAATAATTTTATTTATATCGATTTTATTCTTTGTGTATTTATATATTGTGTGCATGTTGAAGTTAACTCTGAAGTTAACTCTGAAGCTGCAATAAAGTAAAGAGTCTCTGGCATTTTAAAATAAACTAATGAAATCGTGATAATGTATGTAGGATAAAATTTATTGTTTTTTTTTTGATTATAATTATATGTTTTTGAGCTGAATACCCCAGCTTGAAACCAATCTCTGAAAATTGATTTCAGTTTGTGCAACTTTAAGCGCCTGGAGCAAAGAATATATATACAGTAATAAGTCCATAAACGAATCACTCATTCATTTAAACAAAATGATTTGTATAAAGAAATCTATTACAGAAGTCAGACGATTGAAATGGATATAAGTTGTGATTCTTCTGGAAGCACAATTATCTAATATAAATAACCTATTTTATTTTAAATATATAAAAGAAATAACACAAATTTAGGAAACTAATAATAACGACGCATTATTAGAAGACATAAGACCTCTTATCCCTTTTTGACACCAAATTCGTACAACTACCCCAGCAGTAATAACTGGACTCATATAAACTCGTAACTTGTGAATTAAACTCAGAAGAGTGTTCAAATCATTCAATTGAATTACTTTTTCGAGTTTTGTTTGAGTAATTCGAGTTATAGCAATTAATTCATTGATAGATTTTATAAATTGTGAGTTACAAAAACAAATTACTTCAAATAGCGTGTTTCACAAAGCAAACATTTTGTATAAAGCAAGTATATGTGTTATAAAGCAAATATATCCAACTACAAGTTATAAAGCAAATATATCCTTACAAGTTATGAATTCAAATGTATTTTATTTAATTTGCGATTGCAATAAATTATGTTAGAATTACACCATTTTTATGCAGCTTACAAAATTTGCAAAGTATTAGTTTTTTTAAACTTCATTATATATTAATAATTAATTAATATTTGTGGGTTAAAAAAATTTATGATTTGAATTCGAACTATTTGAGTCACAAGTTGACGAGTCCAGTCACTACGTAGTCATGTGCGTCGCAATTTACTATACTGTATATGGCCATTCGGAAACGGATTATTGTTAATGAAGTATATAATAGCATTTCTTTTTTTTATGTAACATGTCGCATCTTTGTCTATACATGTCCGTTGACAACACTAAAAGAGTTTGCCTGATTGAAAAGTTTATTTTCATGGAGTTATTCGAACATGGAAAACAATTTAATGACAAACATGATTATGAGAAAGCTTTCGAATGTTATTTGAAATCTGCAGAATCGAAACATGTCAAAGGAATGTTATACACTGGATGGCGGTATCAGTTCGGTATCGGTGTTGAGAAATTTGTTAAAAGCATTCGAGTTTTATAATCAAGCTGCAGAATTTGGAGATGATGAAGGTTTGTTTCATTTGCAGAGCTCTACCATTTAGGCATTCATGGTGAAAAGAACAGAGAAAAAGCGTTTTTTTTCTTAAATCTGCAATAACCAGTTTTAAAATGGGAATTTGGAAAACGTCTCTTTGTTATTATCATATTTATGGGGTAAAATATAATAGGATAAAAGCATTTGAATGGCGTGGTAATGATAATGTTATAAGCTTTTATAGTCGTAATCCTGATTATCAAATTTGTTTAAGTTGTAATGAATATAAGATGGGGAAATCTTATTGTAAACTCTGTGACCCTGATATTAAAATTCAAGGATGGACGAGTCGTAATAAAAAAATTGATGATATTACAATACATTAAAGTAATCGGTGAATCACGATCAATGTTAATGTTATCATCGGATAATTGTAAATTAGAATGGTTTAGTTTTGATAGATTTAAAGATATTGAAAAGATCGGGAAAGGAGGTTTCAGTATAGTGTATAGAGCAGCATGGCGGACATTCGATTTGATTGGCTTGAAGATCCCTGAGTTACACAACACATCCACCGATTTGGTTTCACCACAAAATTAGCCAATCATGATCGAGAATTATTTGCTATTAAAATTTATTACAAAGTGAATTTTTACAACAATGGCTTTTAAACTTACTTTTAATCCATAATAAAGCAGTAAAGTGTATAGAATATTTTAATATCTACATGTTTAATTATTAGTTAAAAGTAAGTTAAAAAGGTAGTTTTTTTGAAAATTGTTTCTAAATTTACTCTTACCCATTATACAACCAATTATTTAATGACAAACCAATTCTTTACTACCCGAAAATATCCAAATGCTTCAAACAACTAGTGATAGTGCTTTCTTTACAGCTTGGTGTAGCTGTTCTTCGAATATTTATTGCTTATTTATCTTATATAGAGGCTAAAAAAATATTTTATTTGAAGGTTTCTTTTATTATTCTTTATATTACTTAATAGCAAAAGTTTGTGTAATGGTTTATCAAAAAAAAAAAACACCTAAAAATCAAATTGGTAAATATGATAAATAAAAATTCTTAAAGTAACCCTTATTATAAAAAACCATATTATTAATTAGTAACTTGTAATTTTATACAATAAACTTTTTTTAAACCTATTTTAAAATATTTTTTATCTTTTTATATATACTATATTTAGTAAAAACAGATTAGTATAGATTAGTATCTCTAAAGATTTTACTTAAAAAGCAAATTTAGACAAATTTAGACAAGTAATATATAATAAATAAAGTAATAAGGTTTTAACTTTAAAAAAAAATTAAGTATTATTAGCTAATTTTAATAAAAAAAAATAATGCCACCAATTAAGAGCAATTATTTATTCACTTCTGGTAAAACACTAAAGTGCTAAACAAACTATGTTAGTAAGATATTGATTTGTAAAAACTAACTAACACAGTAAACAATTAGAAATAATAATAATAATAGCATAAAAGTATTTCAATTTAAAGTCTAAAAATATAAAAATATAATTAAATAGATTCTATTTAATAAATCAAATTTACTACATATCACTACTAGTAATCATCACCAGCAATTAGTAATGTGTAAATCAAATAGTTTTTGCTGAAACAAAAATTAAAATTTGATTAATATTAGGGTTAGATTAGGGTTAAAGCTGGGATGAGGTAGAGGCATAGTTTATACCAAAATTTCATAAGAAATTTTTTTTGATATAGCCTCAAAAGTGATTTTATAGACAAAATTTTAAAATACAAATATATATTGGTAATGATCACTAGTGGTAATAAATAGCAAACTTTTTAATAAATTATCTGATATTAAAAAATTAGTAAAGAAGAATTTGGCTCTGTATATTTAGCAACCTGGTTAGATAGCATATAAAAAGTTAATAAAATTAATAACAGTTATAATTGTATCTACAAATAGTATATAAGCTATTTAGTATTGTTATGTTTAAGATATTAGCTAGTTCTAAAAAATAATAATTTTTTTAAAAAAGCAAATTAATTTATTGTTTTAATAATTTATCTAATAGTTTACTAAACTAATTTATTGTTTAAACTTTAAATTTAAAAGTTTTATAAAATATAAATTAAATTATAGTAGTTTTACAATATATAGAATACCTCAAAA